GCCTATCCAAAAAAAAAAAAAAAAAAAAATTAGCTCAGAGATATTCTTCCATGACAGTGCAAAAAAATATATAGGTTTAATAAATGCTTTTAACTAGTAATTCAGTGTACTGCACTGATTCCATTTTGTAAGAAGTTTACATACACCAACCGTACTGAAAGTAATGGTAACAGTATCTAAATTTTATGTACTTTGTGTGGTATATTTGCTGTTTCTTGTAAAATGTTATATAAGATCATGTCAGTAATAAAATAATGTGAGTAGAAGGTACACTTTTAAATTAATGCAACTTTTCAAAATTACAGTAATGTAATCTTCTTTCACACTGCATTGTCAGTTGTTTTAACAGTTACTGTTAATACATAAATTATGAGAAGAATCAGTGTAGAAGTATTCTACTATTATCTTACACATTTTCTGCACCTTCACCATAATCAGGATGAATATTGTACAAAGGTGTGATATAAATTATGTAATATACAAATATAAATACTTTATGACATTTTAGTTGTTAGTGCAGTTACTGTTAATTAGTATTACTTTTATTAATGGTATTCAGAACATTATTCCATGTGAAGACCTCTTCCTATCGCCAGCTTTTATCACATACAGATGTTTGTGTTCTATTCTTATTTTCTTAATCATAAAAATATATGTAGCGTTGTTCCAGTGTTGTGTGTTTGCCAAAGAATTTCATTACCAGTTGTAACTGCAACTAAAAGCCACTAAGGTTTATGTAAGTTGATTTATTTGAAAAATACTTTTCATTGTTTGAGTTAAAATACGTGTATGCATGTTTTCTGAGAAAGAAACTTAAGGCATGAAATTGTGTCCAGATTCTGTTTGTCTTCTTCCTTTTGGGGATGTGATTGTTGCGCAGAAATTACCTTCTTTGACCGGTATGTGCAGAAACCGTTGGTTGGATTCAGCTAAGTCTTGTTAATATGAGAAAAACTAAAAATATTTGTCAACAGCAAAAAAAAATGAGTACCTCATATTTCTGCAGTCGAAATCAGTCAATAAACAACCTTGAAGCTTTTATTAATATTGTTACCTTCTTTCAGGAATTTCATATTTGTGTAATTTGTTTCACCATTATGCTTGCATGTTTCAGTAAGCCAGTATCCTTCTAGCCAGCTTAGAAGATCCTTTCCTTCTTCCATCCATATATTGAAGTTCCAGGTATCAGAACTAAATTTGTATATCTTATAGATGAACTTTGGAAGCCATCCTCAGTACTATTCACTTGAAGATGATCATTATGTTTGGTTCAGGATGCCCTGATGATGGAGGCAATAAGGACCTCTGAAACACTGGAAAACTTCAACCATACTACACGGCGCTATAACCCAGAAGATAGTCATGTTATAATTATTCTTATGTTATGTATAGTTAGGCTTCGGGTAGGGTTGAGTAGGAGAGATGGTAATTAACGTTGTTACCGACTGAGTTTTTGGCAGTGGTTTATCGACCGTTATCGCATTATCGCATTATCGCTCGTCGTTGTTTTACGAGCGTTGCCAACTTTCAACATTGAATTTGCGATCTCTATCATTGTGAAGTGATCAGCACTGATCTGTTCATAGATCATAATACAGATTGCAGATATTTGTTTAATGTGTGTGATTAACAAAGGATGCAGATAATCATGTGTATGGTGTGTGTGTTTGCATAGTCGTGTGTGAACGAGATTATTATTGATGTACACGTCTTTGCACAGGACATAACGTTGGATGTTGATGGTGGTTAATGTATTTAGTATGTTCCTTTGTCTGAATAGTCGAATGTGAATGGGATTATTATTGTGTTTTTTTTTCGAATTATCCAGTTGGTAGTAATTTCAAGTGCCGTGGTACAATAATGGCAACTTGGATAAATGTTACCCCAAGGTAAATAATTTATGTATATTACTCCAGACTGCGCTTTTTGTTATTGTAATTGGCCTTATGCATGCTTGTAACAATATATTACGTTATTATACTGTGTGTGACTCCTGTACCTAGCGATATTCTATACTATTACTAAATATTTTCGTAGTTCTGGAAACGTGTGGACTGCACAGTTTGGTTAGGTTAGGTTAGTTGATGTGATTCTTTGTGCTTTTCCTTGTTGAAAACTTATTCTTTCAACAGTGGTGTGACTGTCCTCATGACAAAGCTGCTGATGCCTGATTTCTGTTGCACAGAGTGTACAATTAATTATTGTACCAAACTGAATTTTTTGATGATCTGTTACCATACATCATAATCTGATCCTATTTTAAGAGACCTCTGCCTTGCAAGTTTGTTCATCCGCCATGTTGGTAATATCAGTGGTAAGAAATTAAAGAGTATGAGTATAGGGTAGCCTCCATACCAGATTTCATCATAATCTGTCCACTAATTCTCAATTTGAATCTTATGAACAGAGACACACAGGTATGGTCAGTCTGGTATATATTATTTTGCACAAAGATTACATGATGAGTAGCCACGCTGTAGTAACAGCAGCAGGACATACTTTACTGTGAGCATTAATTTGACATGTGTATATAGGATTTGAGATTTTCACAGTGGTGAGTCTGAAGACAGCTGTCTACTGGGTTTTTGTGCCATGTAGTCTGGTAGAAGTTTACCAACGTTTCAGAGGTCCTTGCTGTCTCCATCATCACCCTGATGTTGGAGGCAGCAAGGACCTTTGAAATGTCAGTAACCTTCTACCAGATTACACAACACAGTTTTGAATTGTTTTTGTCTTCTCCATTTTATTTTATTCTGTTTTTAGTTTGAAGAGAGCAGCCAATATAATAAACGGTTTAGATACATCAAAGTTCCCTCTTCTCCTGAGTCGGATCTCCCAGTCACTGCAAGCGGGTGCCATTAATGAGAAGGCATTCAATAATGAAGAGGAAGAGAAGTTGGAGGTTTCTCTTGGTTTAGAGAAGTCGGACCTGAAACTGCTCCTTGAGTCCACCACGTTCATCCTAGAACAGGTACTGCCTGTTTCATAATATTGTACTTTAATTTTTGCTTCTAATTGACTGTGAAGCTTATGAGTGTTCATTTTATTCCAGGCTGCGTATTACATGACTAAACCAGCAGTTCTGCAGAGATATCTGTCAGATACATTGGAGCTTAACGAAGATAAATGTGAAGCGTTTGTAAATGTCTGGATAAATTCAGCAAAGGGAATTGTGGAACATCTGAGACAGAGGTCTTTGTTTCCGGCACAGGTTAGTACAATGTCAGAAATGAGCTATTTTAAACTCTGGCAGAAATTTAGGAGGAACAGTCCTCGTAAAACATGAGATTTTACGGGCACCCACAGCGGTCTCAGGTACAAGAAAGTCACATAAAGTTCTCTTGGGTTGTGGCCATTTCAAGTGGTCGAGGGGCAAAAGACCAGCATTTCAAGAGCGATCTCTGCCCTCATCCTCTGGGTATCGACGTGGCTGGAGATCAGTCCGTGTCATGTCAGGGTCCCGTGCTCATGGCTGTGTGCTAGTAGGCCCAACTTTCTGATTGGATCACAGGATACCAGCCCTGGCCCAACATGAAACCAACCACCATCTGTGTTGAATCTAGTGGCGTTCAGTCAAATTTAAATTTCTTCCGTCCATATAACCTGTGTTTTCTTGACTCCACCTACCAGTAGCCCGAGAGAACTTTATTATGACGGCGTGCTGATAGTAATCATATTAACTAACAAAAATCAGTGGTTCTTAACAAGTGTACCACAAGCTTTTGCCAAGTTCACCTTCAGGCTTTGAATAGATGAATGAAATTAAATATGCAAATTAGAAATCATATAACTGTTAATGTTGAGGCTATTTCCACGTGAGGTAATTATGTTCTGGAAGATAAAACAGTGGCAATGTTTCATATTTTGTCACAGCATGAAAATCCACCATTGCATTGCAGTGTAAAGTAAAGTTTGTCCCACTGCGTGCCGTAAAGGCGCTTGGGGGGAGTGGCGGTATAGCTCCTCTCTTTCTTGACGTGCCAAAAAAGTAACAAACAAGGAAATTAAAAGAAGAATATCCTAAGTGTGCCGCAAGTACCAAAAGGTTGAGAACTGCTGATGTAAATGCATGGAGTCGAGTCCTCCTTGAGAACAGACTACAGTAGATTCCAGTTAATTGGGACGTCGGTTAATCGGGGCAGCCATTTATTTCAGACAAATCTTACAGAACAAACCTTTTTAACTCTTTACGTGGAACTTCGCCAAAGTGTTAAGTCCCAATGTATCCTAACTAACCAGAATCCACCGTATTCGGAACCCAAAGGTGTTCTAAAGGGCCTGCAAGCCACCAGTACCTATAAACAACCAGATGAATCAGCTGCGCACCCCCCTGTAGAGGGATCCATTTTAATTTTATCCTTCCATCTACGCTTAGGCCTTCTGAATTGTTTCTCCCCTACAGGATTTCCAACCAAAATTTTGTTCACATTTCTCGTCTCCTGCATGTGTCCTACATTATCTCCTTGATTTAATCTCCTTAATATTAGTGAAGCATTGTTATTTTATGTTTTAAAATTCCAAAAGCAGTAGAAGATTTTGCAAAACTCTAGTATTTTCCAAGTTTAATGTTAGAGAAAAATCCCGTTCATAAGTAAACCGCCGTTTATTACGGACTGTTTTCAGCTTGACGAAGTCAGATGGTCCCTCAGCCTTCAGACTGCTTCGAATGCTCAAACGAAACAGGTTATTCCAAAAGCAGTGTTTCAGTTTGGACTGAAGACAAATGCAGGCGCTCGCGATAACGCGACAGTCGCGTTTACGCACGAAGAACTGTACGAATTCTATAAAAACATCGAAACAATACAGACCAAGTTGGATGGATTGCACTGAACATTTACCAGTTCACATCAGATTTTGTTCAGTTTTTTTATACGCGGGAACGGCAAGAACGTGATGTAAGTAATTCACTGTATTACGAAATGTATTTGTTTATGTATGGATTATTTGGAATGTTATGGCAAAGGTTGGAGAGTAGAATGTGAATGTTTCGTACTTGCGTGCTTTGTAGTTGATAAATTTACTGAACTTTATTATATATTATGAATATTAAAATAATGGATTAATTCATTATGACTACAGAAGGCAGAATACAATTGGATCCACGTTCGTCATTTATCTGGAGCATTTAAATTACTGCAGTCGATGTGGTCGTATGGATTTAATTGAAACTTACACTGTCATAAAGTACAACTTGTTACAAAGTACAGTGTATTTATTCCATTTTTAAGAAAAAAAAAACCCTTATTGAGTTGTGAACCCATTTACCTGCACATGAGATCTTGTAACGAGCAGTCTCGTTATGTTCCGTTTGAGTTATGATTTCATTTCCCCACATTCTAATTGAATACTCCCCTGATTTAATTTCATCCTGCAAATTTATCATGCTACAAAGTACTGAGTCATCTCCACTTCCATTAGACCTGCTTCAGGCAAGATTGTTTCATTTCCAAAGCCTCGTGGTGAAATGAATACAATCTTACTTAGAGTCTTTTGAAGCTGGTCTGATTACACAATTAATATGCAGTATAAAATAAGATAAATAGCCAAAGACATACCACTTTGTATTTTGAATAAACCCCTCAGTCGGTAATTTTTTTTTTTTGGAATTTTGGCAAATGCTTTAAAAATTAAAAGAACTGAAAATGAAAAAACATTTTTCGAATTTGAAATTTTTGTTTTTGTTTCGTGCGCCTCTGAAACAATTTACAACGTTTTTGCATTTTTTTAATATTGTGAAATTCTTTTCATAATATACATCACCCAGTCCCTGCTGGACCCGGATTTTGCTGGTCTGGTGGAACTAATTTTAGAATTCTAAAATTTTGCAAAAAGTTCATAAGTTTCTTAAAAAAGGAAACACCGGAAAAAAATCATTTTTTTTAATTTTGTGCGCTTTCTATACATTTTCCAACATTTTTTGATATTTGGAGAAATTTTCAAATTCCTCTCACATGGTCTCTGCTGGAATCGATCTCACCCAGATCCCTTCTCTGTCCGAAGCAATACCTGCCCGCATCTGTCTCTTCTCGACACGGTCTGTGAACAGCCTGGTCTCAGCCCGACCCGGTCCGTTCCAGTCGCTCTCTGTGTTACCCGATCACTACTGGAATTGTTCTTTTCGTATTGTCTTGTGAAACTACTTTCAAAATTCGAAGATTTTTAAAATTTTGAATATTTTTTTTAAATTCCTCTCAACCGGTCTCTGCCCTACCCAGTCTCTGTTGGACCCTCTTTTCCTTACCAGTCTCACCCCGAAACGGTCACTGAATGTCCCTGTCTGCCTGACCAAAAAATGCTGGAAATTTTTTGAAAATATTCAAAAAAATTTGAAATTGAAATTTTTCAAAAAAAATTGGTTTTGTGCGTTTTTTGGACAATTTGCAGCATTTTTTTATTTTTATTTTTTGAAAATTTTGATTTTTTTCAAAATTCCACCACCTGATGCCTTGCAGAGCCGGTCTCTCTCGGACTGTTTCTGATGTACTGTGTCTGACGAATGCGGTCTGTACCTGTCTCGGGCTCTGCACGGACAGGTCTCTCTCTGACACTGCTCTGACATGCCGTCTCTGTGAAGCCCTGGTGCGGGAGACAACACGTGAGGCAGACAGGGACGTGCAGAGACCAGAGGACGGTTCGTACAGAGATCGAGGCAGGCAGCAACTGGTTGAGACAGAGGCCGAGTCGGGCAGAGACAGGATGTGGCATTCACCGAGACTAGCATGCAACTCTTCAGGAGACCTTTGAAAATTTTCGAAAAATAAAAAAATGCTGGAAATTGCCTGAAAAGCACAATATCCGGGCCACGACCAGTCTTTGCACGACAGCAGATACCGGTTGCCTCACAGA